TTAAAATACTAAAGGTTATTTTTGTTACATATGATTGAGTTGGAACTGACTCACACCTGACCCTCCAGCAAGTTTTCAGAGGCTGTAAATCACATGGGTAAAGATTGCCCATATTTCTTCCATGGAGCAACTATTTAGAGTCAAACTGCCAGAGAAGTACCACTTATGGATTATCAGTGCAACTTTCTAAGGACTATCTACTTATTTAAAGAAGTAACCAGAATGTGACTTCTTCTGTGTTATTACAATAGAGACTCTCAGTGTTCAAATGTTTTGACAGCAACTCATAATAATAATAAAAAAAGGCTTTTACTTCATGACTCAAGTAACACACATGTATAAAGGGAAGGGGGAGTTTGATCCAGTAATAGTATGTGCTTTGATATTACTTTGTTTTACTTTTTTAATGACTCTGGTTATCATCCATTAAATTGGTTTTGGCAATCACTACAGAATTGGAAACTGCAATTTGAAAAAGATTGATCTGATATAACACTTGCACTGTATAATCAAGGAAATGGAAGTCCTGAGAAACTAAAAATAGTATTTGTTTGAAATTAAGGCAGAGCTGAACCTAGAATGTTGTCATTGTTGTTGAGTTATACCTCACATACAATAAAATCCCCCTCTTAAAACCCAGTTCAGTGGGTTTTAGAATATTCACCAACTTGTACAACCACCACCATCACTAATTCCTGAATGTTTGTTCTCATTACCCTCAAACCCAAGCCCATTAGCAGTGATATGAGAATTTATATCTTATTTACAGTCCAAAGATCATTCCACTTTTATGGCTTTATGTGTATATTTAGATTGATTATTTTTAAGGCAAGCACAACAGTGTTTGTTTTATCTAAATGACTGAATTTACCAAACAACTGCTAAAACTTTACACAATCTATGCTGTTAATCATCTCTATATTTCATACAGATTTTTGCATTCTGTTTTTGTTTTTGTTTTTCAAATACTTTCCAGATTCTTGAAGGTACCTGCAAAATGCTTAGGAATGGATGCCATGGACTCTAAACAGACTCCGGAAATGTTTTGTTCTTTGAACATATAGCATATCATCTCAAAGGAAATGAGATAAAGTATGTGAGACTCTAGGAAAAAAAATTTAAAGTTGTTTATTCTGGAGCCATTTGTAAAAGGGTTGTTTCTGTGTTTTTGGTCTCTCTCTCTCTCTCTGTGTCTCTCTCCCACCCTCCTTTTCTCCCTCCCTAGTTCAAGGTTTTCAAATAAAATTCACAGCCAGACAAAGGGTTTTTACAAAGTTTAAGGAAAACCTAAACATCTTGCTGGAGTTCAAATAAATTTTGAAAGTTCCTCACCATAACATAAACCAAATTTTCCATTCTGTGGTTTTCAAAACATCCTTTATTTGATCTCCTATTGTGTTTGCATTTCTACTTATCAGAATAAGCTTTGTATAAAAAGATCATAAGGACCCGTTTTCTAATATGAAATTATCAGATTCTCTAAAAGGTAAATATCAACTTTAAAACTAATCATAATTGGAGTTTTAAATGGTTATTATTATTATGTACCATTGAGTTGCTTGTAACTCATAGTGACTCTGTGTACAACAGCCCTGAACCCTGCTCTATCCTGTGCCCATCTTATTTATTGTCTCTGACACACCTACCCTTATTACTCTAATCATTGAATCAATCCATCTCATCGAAGGTCTTCCTCTCTTGTGCTGTCCCTCCACACTCCTGAGGATTGATCCCTTCAACACGACCAAAGTATGTCAGATGAAGCCTCACAATCCTTGCCTCCAAGAAGCAGCCTTGCTTCACCCTCTCCAGGGTGAAACTGTCTGTTCAGCTGGCAGTCGACTGTGTATATTCAATACTCTTCTCCAGAACCACACAGCTCAAAGGCATCAATTCTTCTTTCATCCCTAGTCATTGTCCAGCTTTCTGACTTAATTGTGAAGACTATGGCCTGGATCAGGCACACCTTAGTGTCCAGACTGATGTTGTTTCTCTTCAGTACTCTGGAGAGGTCCCTGACAGCAAGGTTTCTCAATGCAATTAATCTTTTGATTCCCTGGTACTCACTGAAGTTTCAAAGTCATTGTATTGACTGATTCTTCAGTGCAAGGTTGTTGATTCTTTATTTAGTAAATATGATTTCAAATATCAAGGACATATGCTCATGCAAATTATATGATCAGAAATTGGTGCTCAAATAATATGGAGTGGTTGTTGATCACTCCACTATAATGAAAGAAAAATTACAATAATGATAATAAAGCAGAAAGACTTTTTTCCAAATAATGCCTAGCTCTTTTAAGCAGAGCACAATTTTAAGAAGCAAAAATTACCTATAAAGTATAGTACTTTGATTTTACTCATCTCCAATGAGAATCTATAAAAGGATAACACTTACTTTAAAGCAAAATTTGTAAGATAATGTGTTTATTTTTAAAAAGAAGTCTCAAAAAAAGCTTTGAAAATCTTTTCATATTTATACTTCTTAAATTTTATTACCAGGTAACTTGGCATTTATCCCCAGTTTCTCCAAGTTAATGAAGTCATAAGATAACTTTTGCCTCAAGGCACACCAAAAAAAATATACATTATTTATCAATAACCACTGTAAAAATGCTTTATGAATTATATTAATGAATAAATCAGCTAGTGTTTTAAATATTAAGCCACCTTACCTGGTGTTGGGGTAGTAACCATTTACTCTGTTGCCTTGGAAGGTTTAACTAGATTTAGCTAACCTTGGCAGATTAAGATGTAAACCATGAAACTGATTGAAACTAAGTATTTTCTTTCTTTTTTTTTAATACCAAACTATATTTACTGTTTACAGAAGGGCAGGACAACAAATAATGTACAAATTGGTGAATAAACACAATAGAGCTAACAAACATCCCACCCCTGCCCACTCAGCAAACTACAAAAGTAGCAAACATTTTTGGCAATATTTCAAACAAGCAAGAGTGATGGATCATGTGACACTGCCAGATTACTACAAAAAGTGGAGAATGACCATCAAGCAGCAAGAAACTGTTACTGAAGAACAACAGGCAGATGATGAGACTTTTTAATTGATAAAGATCACGAAAATAGTTCACAGAATTAAAATCACCATACTAATGCATAAATTAAATACATATTTGGAAAGCAGTAGAGCAAAAATCTGTCATCTTTCCATGGGTCTCATTTGTTACCACACTTCAGAGTTCTTGTACACAACAACATAACTGCACATTCAGCAATAATCTTACTTTTTATACGTAGACTGTAATTACTCATCAGAAGCAAATACTAAAGGAAATTGTGGCATTATTTTCTCCTATATGAAAAAAGTGGGAGAAGCCAATTGAGTTAATGTAGTTGTGACCTGCTACAGTGATCAATAGGCACTGAGCACCGGTGGTAGGGACCCTGGGCCGGAGCCCTGTGGGAACACACTCAAGGGCAGGGATCATGAGGCCACACTAGTGAAGGACTCTATTTCACTTGTTCAGTTTTTATGCAGCAACCCAACAGATTGTATTTAATTTTATCATTTCCTGACAAAGCTTAAATGTGCAATATTAAAAATTTCATAAACTGTACCTTTAACAAATAGCAAGTGAAATTTTGTCTTTCATCCCCACCAGGCCGCCAAAACACAGGTCCAGAAGAAGCACCCACTGCAGTACACATGAGCTACCTACATAATTAGATGAAGCAGTGGGGGAGAAGATCACAACATCTGGGGGGGCAAGATCTCCAAGTGAAGACTGAAAATGGACAGCCCGCAAGTTGGAGAAAAGTGTTCTAGGAGGGAGAAAAAAATAAAAACATAACAAACACCAAAATCCTTGCAACTCATTTAACCTAAACAAAGACAACAATTTGTATTGGCCCAATTTCAGCTGCAGATTAATCCCTTCAGAAATAGGATTGAGTTGCACTTGACGTACATCAAGGAGAGAGGAAAGTAATTTGGTGACGTCCTCGAGTTTCCAAAGACACATGTGGTGGCATGTTCACGTGTTTACTATTGGATCACAAATGCAAGGACAGGTGGCACAGACGTGAGATGGTCCTCCTAGATATGACACCCCACCAGGTCTCAAATCCCCATGTGCCACACGTCTGCTGCTGGAACACATCGATTGTGTCTTCATCCTCCATCTCCAGCTGTGCTGGAGTGTATGCTTCATTAATTGGCTGCCCATCAAACCTGAATCTAATCTGTCTGATTGACAAGCCCTGTCACTCACAGTAGGCCTTCATCGGCTTACTCAGAGGCGTGTGCCTCTTGATTTTGAACTGGACGACAGAGCCACCCTGCCCAGTCACCCTCAGGTAGATATGCTCCTTCTGTCTCCACTCCCTCTTTGGGCTTCTCCTTGGACATGGCTTGCGCTGCGCTGCCGGAGGCAGCAAAGGCTGGAGCAACGCTGGAACCGGCCAGTCACACTTTCGGGCCCGACGCTCTCCCACCACAAGTCTTATTTACTATCTTTCAAAGTACATAAGCTGCACATGTCAGTTGTTTCTCAGCTATTTGATTGTTTTATTTAAAGACAATGCTTCTGAGGAAATAGGAAATTTGATAGTTCCAAAGTACTAATCTCCAGAAAGCGATCTTTAATTCATGTTGTTTTTCTGAATTAAATTCTTTCTTCTTAGCCTAGTCTCATACATATTGTTACGTTTGTGTCAACCCTAATGATGTAAGATTACATCATAAAGAAAAGCCTTTCTATGAATTTCTAGAACTTCACATTTCTCAAGAATACATTCGTAATCATAAAGGCAAGCCACAATTTTTATTAGTCCAGAATTTGGAGGGGAAAAAAAATTAACCATTTTACATGATAACTAAATTAACAGAAATCTTCCTCCTCTCAGAAATCATCATAACTTTCAAAGGAATAAATTTTGAAATATTTCTTTTTGTGTATTGCTTAACCTCCCTCAGCCTGGGAGATCCTACCTGTAAATAAGGGAGAATACTAGCAATACTACCACCCCCCAAACTATACCCCAACCCCTCCTACCTAGAGGGATTCAGAGAATGATGCTGTAGGAAAGCACCTACTTTAGAGCTTTCACAAAAGACAACCATGGTGATTATTATTTTATAAAATAGTCTGTATCGTTAATCTAATTAATTTATTCACCTAAGCAAAAACACATTTTGTTAAAGTATGAACCTTAACTATTTGTTACCCGTGTTGTTACAGTGTGTAGAAAGCTGGGCTGCTACCCCAAGGGCCACACCTCTCTGCAGTTTGAGTCCACCAACCCCTCGGCTCAGGAGAAAGATAGACAATCTCTTCTCGTTGAATTTGCAGCCTGGGAAACCCAGGAGAGGGTCAACTATGAGTCAGTTCCAACTCCATGGTATTAAGGAAGGTATATTTATTTATCTTTTTTTTTTTTTTGCAGGTAACAATATTTATTTTTTTTAATTTAGTTTGTTTATTTTTCATTTCAATGAACATCTACAGAGATTTTGGAATTCCATTCATTCATTGTTGCACCCTTCTCCCCGCACAAACCCCTCCCCCC